CAAGTCTGTCCCTCACAGCCTCGTTTTCATCCATGTGAAATTCAGTATGGGATCGAAGGTCTGTAAGAGGTGTTAAAGTTAGTCAGATTTGCCCAATACCACCCAAAATGCTGAATGATCTCACTGACTAGTTCTACATGCTTGCGGATCCTTTTGTTGTAACAGAGTGAAGATAGGATTTAAATAAGAGATTGATTGTGCAGTGTACAGCATGAGCTCATACTGAACTGAAGTGATTGACGGCTTCTGTGATTTACAGTATAGAGAGCGCTTTTTGCTTGCTTTTCTGTGTATAATGCCTTAGCAATTTAAATAAGTTTTGGGAGTGAGTCCACTTATATTGTTGTGTGAGTCACTCCTGAAATTGTGATGATTGATCACAAAAGATAAAATACATATCTCAAATGTAGACCAATAGACCTGCCACAGCAAACATCAAAACACACCTGTGCTGAATACATTTCTTTTTTAGATATAGTTGGATACTATACTTAAGTCACTCTCATTTCAATTTATTTAACTTAAGAAATATTTGAAGGTATTTAAAAGAATAGTTCACCCAAAAATGAAAATGTTGTCATGAATTACTTACCCTCATGTTGTTCCAAACCCGTAAGATCTTCATTCATCTTTGGAACACAAATTAAGATATTTTTGTCACCCTATAGCGCCATTTTGGAGAGTACGTGAACAACGAATGCTCTTCTGTGTCAGCAGCACCACATGGATACCTTGTTTACGCTTTGATCTGAACGTATGGTGCTGCATCCATTGTTTCCATTCAGTGGATACTCTCCAAAATTGCACCAGACGCGGAAGAGACGAATTGTTGAATAAAGTCGTTATTTTTGTTACCTTTGCACACAAAAAGTATTCTCGTAGCTTTGTATAAATTACGGTTGAACCACTGATGTCACATGAATTATTTTAACGATCTCCTTACTATGTTTATGAGCCTTGATTCTGGTCCTTACGCTTGATCGTGTAAGGACCCTTGCTGTCTATGGGCGGGTCTGGGAGCCCCTCGGATTTCAGCAAAAATATCTTAATTTGTGTTAGATATTTTTGTCACCCTATAGCGCCATTTTGGAGAGTACGTGAACAACGAATGCTCTTCTGTGTCAGCAGCACCACATGGATACCTTGTTTACGCTTTGATCTGAACGTATGGTGCTGCATCCATTGTTTCCATTCAGTGGATACTCTCCAAAATTGCACCAGACGCGGAAGAGACGAATTGTTGAATAAAGTCGTTATTTTTGTTACCTTTGCACACAAAAAGTATTCTCGTAGCTTTGTATAAATTACGGTTGAACCACTGATGTCACATGAATTATTTTAACGATCTCCTTACTATGTTTATGAGCCTTGATTCTGGTCCTTACGCTTGATCGTGTAAGGACCCTTGCTGTCTATGGGCGGGTCTGGGAGCCCCTCGGATTTCAGCAAAAATATCTTAATTTGTGTTCCGAAGATGAATGAAGGTCTTACGGGTTTGGAACGACATGAGGGTGAGTAATTAATGACAGAATTTTTAAATGTAAATAAATAAACAACTACCCTCCTTAAAGGAATAGTTCACCCTAAAATGAAAATTCTATTTATTTGAGGTCGTTCAAACTGCACAAGACTAGCCAAGATCTGAAAACGCCAAAGCTCACACTAAATCCACAGTCTGCTTCGGGTGTATTTGAGGCGAACGTATCCCATCATTAGGTTCAGGAACTGTTCAGGATGTGCCCTGAGATTTTGAGAAAAACTACATTAAATTAGATATTACATATAATTTGTGCAGGTATGATTGTGGATTTTGTAAAAGATTTGCAACTGCTTTTCTTTTATCACTTAATTAGAAGCTCCACAGTTACTAAACTGCTGTCTGTTGCATAAGAACTACCAAACAGGCATTGAGAAGTTTACTTTAAAGTATTGAAAATCAAAATGTGCTGTTTAAAAATTGTTGCTTGGGTTTTAATTGTTTTTACAACACTGTTTTGTAAGTGTGTTCCATCAGGTTATCTGTTCTATGCACACTTGTAAGTCGACAAGTGGTCAAGTTCAGTGAATACAAGTGTCGGTTTTGGGACAGGCTCTTTGTCAAGAAGAGTACTAAGTGAATTTCCCTTTTGTACATGTCATTTTCTATAAGGAGAAGGTGGTCTGCAAAGCCTCCTGGGTAATATGAGTCACAATCAACTCATGCAGCTGATTGGACCAACAGGACTGGGTGGACTTGGTGAGTTTTATTATTAGCTCTTTATTTGAAAGTAATATTCTACGTCCATGATTGTAAATGCTATTTGAACTGGGCCATATTGCAAATAAGTATATAAGTTTATTTTAACTAAAGGTGCTCTGGCTGGTCCAGGACTGGCCGGTCTGTTGGGCAGTGGAGGTCCTGCTACCAGCAGCTCAACCTCGAGGTACATCTTTTGATTTCTCCATGCTTATTTCTGGCGCTATGTTCACGCATCTTACTGATTTGATTTATTATCCCTCTCCTGTATACACAGCTCCCGCAGCCAATCGGCAGCAGCCACTCCCTCCTCTGGATCGGCCGCCCGTCTCAGCTCCACCCAGGCACCCACCACACCCGTCACCCCTGCTGCTACCTCCACCAGCTCGCCCACGGTGACCCCCACCACCCCTGCTGCCCAGACTCCCTCCATGCCTGCGGGATCCCCCTCCAGCACGCAGCCCATCCAGCTGAGTGACCTCCAGAGCATCCTGGCCACCATGAACGTGCCTGCCATGGCCGCAGAGGGGCCGGGAGGTGAGACTCTGACAACTGATGTACCTTTCATTAGTGCAGTCATGTCCTAATGGTTAGAGAGTCGGACTTGTAACCTGAAGGGCGCGGGTTCGAGTCTCAGGGCCGGCAGGGATTGTAGGTGGGGGGAGTGAATGTACAGCGCTCTCTTTCACCCTCAATACCACGACTGAGGTGAGACCCTTGAGTAAGGCACCGAACCCCCATCTGCTCCCCGGGCGCTGCAGCATTGGCTGCTCACTGCTCCGGGTGTGTGTTCATGGTGTGTGTGTGTGTG